TCTCTTTAGCTTCCTGGGTTTTACCCCTTTCTCCTGCTCTTCCGGCCTGCTACTCTGTGCTACGCCCGTGCTTACTTTGCTCCTGGAGACCTGGTCAATCTTTACAGACCCCAAAAAACCCACTATGGTAAGCATAATTATACTTATATTTATACTTATTTCACCTTAATGTTTCTTCTAACTTATATATTAGAGGAAAATGATAATAACAATGTATTTAAACACTTGCTATTATATGTACTTGTAAATAATAGGAACTCATGATAAAAACTAAAACAAAAAACTAATGTCAATTCTATTTTGCCTTTCAGAACACAAGAAGAAAGCTGATTTCCAGTTCCTCTAGCCTTCCTGTTCAAAGCAGACAAACAGTGTATGAGACTGTTTAAATATGTCAGAGACTTCCTCTCATGACTCCTTCTACGATTCCCTATCAGATATGCAGGAAGAAGACAAGAATGCTGATTTCTTCCCTGAGCTATCTGCTTTTCTCAGCCAGGAAGAGATAAACAAGAGTCTTGACCTGGCCCGGAGAGCTATAGCCAGCTCTGAAACAGAAGATTTTGACTCAGAAAAGGAGATCTCGCAGATTTTCAGCACCTCTCCTGTAAGCCTCTGTGAAAATCCTCCTCATAAGGAGACCAAACTGGGTGAGCAAACCTCCTCAAGAAGACTTCAAGAGACCAGGCCAACATCTGTCCAGTCTCTGGCAGAACCACAGACTAAGAGTATCTCTTCACCTGTTTCGAAGAGGAAACCTGCCTTATCACCCCTGCTTGCCAGGCCCAGCTATATCCGGAGCCTCCGAAAAGCTGAAAAATGTGGTGGAAAAACTCCAAACACAAGTATAAAGCCCAAACGGGCATATCAAGGCAAAGCAGGCCCCCAGAGCGAGCTGTGTGACAAGGCAGCTAATTTCATTGAGGAGCTGACATCCATATTTAGAGAAGCAGCAAAGCCGAGAAATAGAAGCCCAAACGGGGAGTCTTCGTCACCAGACAGCGGGTACTTGTCTCCTAAAAACCAGCCTTCAGCCCTAATGAGTGCCTCAGCCAGCCATAGCCCTACAGAAGACCAACAGGAGATGGAAACAAAGGTTAAGTTGCCAGAGGCCAGGCGTCGCTATCAGGTCAACCACGATGGGGTGATGCCGTGCAATAATATGTCTCACCCACAACTTCAGAATCCACTCCACTTCCCCTCCGCGCCTCGATTCATCCAAAAGCTGAGGAGCCAAGAGGTGGAAGAAGGCAGTAGAGTTTATTTGGAGTGTAGAGTCACTGGAAACCCAACTCCTCGAGTCAGGTAAGAATTTACTGCTGTGAATAGCTAATGATTGTGTTGACTTTTGGTTTTATATTAATGTAAATAGAAAAAGATTTTCATGTATAATTAGTCTTTCCAGAGCCTGAGATTGTTACCAAGTAGTTACAAAGCCAAAAGTATCCTAGAATCACAAATACTCGAAAACCCAAGGAGGGGTCGCTATGAGTCCAATCCGATGCAATGGCAGCGTGTTTGGTTTGTGTTTGGTTAATTGTGCCATCGGTGGCATCACTAGAGTGAGTGTCATCCAGTGCAGTAACTCGTGGTGCCACCTCCCACAATGGTCCTCCTGTAGTACCAGACCATATAGAATCCTTAGTGATTTTTATTACCAATTTTAATCATAGAATAATATTTGATAAATATAGTTGTAAATTGCTTAAATGTGATATTTGTTAGATTATATGAATACTATCAACAAAATTGTTTTTAAGGTCTTCCTACACCGAATTGCAACATTAGTTACATTATTAGTAACTGAGTGGAAGCCTTTTCTGATTTGTATCTTTCTTTCACTTTACTATTTCATTCTCAAAAAAAGTTACTGATAAAGACTCGTAAATACTACTTACCACGACATTGTAGCTAAAACATCAGAAAATTTGAAAAAATCAGAGATTATAAAAATATCTGCAGCAACGAAAACAACAGCATGTGCTTGTAGTACATGCAGATGAAAACACGTGATTGGAAGCGTTGCTGTAATTGGGTAATAATTGCAGCTCTGACCCAGAGCATTAGAAGATTCAAAAAGTAAATTAACATGGAGTTTTATCATTATAGGTCTATTGATACATGTAAGCTGGGCTTACAAAAAAATGTTTTGGTTGCTGTAACTACAGAGATATTTTTATTAAAAAGTAATAAATTTCTGCTAAAACACCACACAAAAATTTTATAGAAAGTCCTTTTTTGTCACCATCACTGACAGTGTCACCCATTGTGATCTGCATCCCCAGCACCTGTCTAGTGATGCCACTGTGTGCTACTTGTTCCAGGAAGCATATCTGTTGTCATGGATGATCTAGGCTACTACTTCAGAGGGAAGGCATAGAGAAGCACAAACAGCAAACAGGTTGCTAAATTGCTGTCATTACGTGCCTATGAATCAGACCTGACTCATGGAGACCCTGTGCACAACAGAGCAAAATATTGTCCAGTCTTACACCATCCTCAATATCCTTGCTATGCTTGAGCCCACCATTGCAGCCACCGTGTCAATCCATCTCATTGAAGGGCTTCCCCTTTTTGGCTTGACCCTCCACTTTACCCATCACGACTTCCTTCTCCAGGGACTGCTCTCTTGTGACAACATGACCAAAGTATGAAAGATGAAGTCTGCCTATTCTTGCTTATAAAGAACATTTTGGTTGTACTTCCTCCAAGATAGATGTGTTCTTTCTTTCAACACTCCATGGGACCTTCAATATTCTTCACCAACATCACAATTCAAAAGCAGTTCTGCAATCTTCCTTATTCACTGCCCAGCTCTCACATGCATATGAAGCTATTGAAAATCTCAGGTCCTGGGTTAGGCACACTTTAGTCTTTGAAGTGACATCTTTACTCTTAAACACTTTAAGAAGGTTCTTTGCAACAGATTTGCCCTATCCAATCCATTATTTGATTTCTTGACTGCTGCTTCCGTTGACGTTGATTGTGGATCCAAGTAAAATGAAACCTTTGACAGCACAATCTTTTCTCCATTTATCATGATGTTGCTTATTGGTCCAGTTATGAGGATCTTTTGTTGAAGATGTTTCCAAAGAAGGCAGACTTTTCTAACAAAGAAAAAAGTCTTGATGAACATTTTTGGGTGCCAAAGGGCTGTTATTCATGCACAGGTTCTGGCCACTAAAGAAGGAATTCAGCAAAAAATAGCAATTTTGTGACTGTGCAGAGTTAATTGGAGTCCACAAACATTTAGAGTGTCATGTTACGTTCATCATAATTTCTATAAATTCTACCTCCTTCATTGTAGAATTTTCCTGTGCAAAAAAGGTTAAAGGGAAGGACCCTGGAATCTATTAGTCTTCCAATCACGATTCCACTTTTTAGCCGTTTGTCACCTTAGGCAAGTTACTTTTACCTCTCTGTGATCAGTTTCTTTATTTATGAAATGGTAATTATAATAATGCCTATGCTACTCTATTGTATGAAGACTGAATGAAATGCTATGCATAAAAAGTAAAACAGTGTCTTGCATCTAGTAAGTGTTCCACTAGTGTTAGCTGTTATCTTGATTATTTCCCATTTATTAATTTCCTATAACCAAGTGAAAATAGCATCTTATACTACAAAAATAAGCTGCTCAATCATTTTTTGAAAGACTTGCTTTTACTAATACAGAGCTCTTTACCTAAATTAAATAAATATGAAAAACTAAATTCAAAATTATGAAATTTGGCAAACTGGTAAACATCATTGGCTAAAATTATAACACTGGTAGTTTCGTATTAATTTGGTATACCATGAATCATAAACTTTATTATACCTGGGAGCTATGGTAGCATAGTGCCTAAGGCACTTGACTGCTAATCAGAAGGCTGACGGTTCAAACACACCAGCCACTCCTCGGAAGGAAGGTTGGGCAATCTACTTCCGTAGTGATATTGCCTCGGAAACCCGAGGAGGGGTCGCTATGAGTCAGGTCCGACTCAACGGCAAACAACAACAACAACACACCTACTAATACTTTACTACTGTTAGTTTCTAACTTTGACAAATTGTTGCTCATAAACATGAAATAAGCATTAGCATTACTGGCTGTAAAAGTGCATAACTGGAGGCAAGATTTTTTTTTTTAATCTCCTAAGCACTTTGTTCAACTAAGTTACTTTCAACCATTTTTTACAGTAATTTTGTAATATTTTATTTTCTTCAGAAACTGACACCAGAGGGCAGTAAAAACTTCCTAATGTGATCATTTACTTAAATATTTCATTCTTATTATTTTACCTGTGATAGAAATAAAACTGAGGCTTTCTTTCAGACACTATTAATATATTTTAAATCACCAGTAATATTGAAGACAAGTAGTTTTCTTCAGGTAGAAATATTTACATATCACTCAAAACACAGTTCCACAGGTTTTCAAGCTATAAATGTCTCCACTTATATTTACCTACAAAATAGGCTTTCTTTCAAGTGGCTTGCAGTGACAAGTAATTGTATTTTAAAAAAACAAAAGACTCATTTCCATCTAGTTGGAACCGACTCATAGCAATCCCTCCTTGGGTTTCCGAGGCTGTATCACTACGGAAATAGATTGCCCAATCTCCCTTCCAAGGAGTGGCAGGTGGGTTTGAACTGCCAGCCTTCTGGTTAGCAGCCAAATACCTTAGGCACTTTCAAAAATGGCAAAAGACAATCTACTTAGAGTCAAAGGAATACATCAGGTGGGCACATATAATTACTGTATTAAAGTTAACATTTTCACAGGAAGATAAAGAGTAAATGAGTTCAGTTAACCATTTGTTATTCAAAGGGCCATCAAATTCATGCTTCTGTCTTTTTTTTGGGGGGGGGGGCATTAATTTGATTATAGCCACAATATTATTAACCAGCTTTCTTGTACTGTCTTCCAGTCTACCAAAGCCCATGATCAGTGTTCATGGCTGTCATTACAAATTGTGCCTTTCTAGAGTCATAAAGTCTTTGATGAGAATGCTCTATTATTCAGAGTTTGCTAGCGGGTTTTTTTTTGTTTTTCCCCCCCTCCTTTTCAGTTTTTTTTGAGAGGGGATGTGTAGGTGTTCATCCAATTTTCTTAATTGCTGTCGCAAAGATCTTGCTCTTTTAATGCTGTTTATTTATAAGTGCACCAAATGCCTAAAAACATTGAGCTCATCTGACCATATGAGATAATCAACAGTCTAAAGAGAAAAATTCTTTGAAAGGAATTTTATATAAGGAAGAAAACCTTGAATAAAGAGTTCTCTGTCTTGGGTCATTTAAACTGGGGTCAGGCTAGGTCAGTCCAGGGGAGTGAAGACACAGAGATTAGGCAAGTCACTTGATTGGCAGGCCACTTCCTAAGGTCGCAGAAGCAGGTGATAGAACTCCTGGAAAGGCAAGGGAATGTCAGAGGAATATGTTATATTCAAATATGACAATTTGAATTATTACATTAAACAAAAATAAGTAAGAATTTATCTGTTTTTCTGATTTTTTAAAATTTTTTATTGAGATGTGGATGCCCATTTACAAAGCAGATTCATTTTACACAAAACAGTTCATGCACATTAGGTTTCACAGTCCCGATTACAATTCCAGCCATAAAAAGCTCTCCTCTCATCTGCTCCTTGTGACTATCCCTTTCCTATGCCCTTCTTATCTATGCATTCCTGTCTGTCCAGCTTTCCCTCTATGCAAATGCTGTCCTTCTGATGTCTCATGGTTGATTCATCTAGGGGGAGCATTGCCCTAGGGTAGGTGGGTGCATATCCTTGGGGTAGGTGTTCTGCTTGTAGGTCTTCCTACTGTTTGGTGGAGAGCTAATCCACAGAAATGAGTCCAGTTCCAGGTCCGAAGAATAACCTGGACCATAGTCTCTGGGGTTCCACCAGCATCTATCTGACCAGTAATTCTGGTCATTTTTGTGTTTTTGAATTTTGTTCCACATTTTTCTTCCCACTCTATTTAGGATCTCCAATTCTGAACCCTTTCTGAGTGATTGGCATTGGTAGCCAGGCACCATTTAGTTCTTCTGGTCTCAAGGTCATGAAGGCTGAGGTTCCTGTGGTCTACACATCCTTGGATTTATTCTTTCCAAATGACTGATTTTCTTCACTCTTCTTTGCTCCGGATGAGGGGAGATCAATAATTGCATCTTAGAGAGCTGCTCGATGGCTTTTAAGACCCCAGTCGCTACTCACCAAAGTAGGATTTAGAATAAGATTTTTATGTACTAGGTTGTGCCAATTAAACATGGTTTCCCATGAGACTATGCTCCCAAGCCTGCAGGCCCAGTGACTCTC